TTTAATTTAAGGTTTTTCATCGGAGTGGCACAAATTTTATTAATGAGATCTTGTCATTCCTCTATACATAGAATGGGAGGAGGTCCAATTGTATGAATTTTGCCCACTTTTTTTGTAATAAGTGATCAAGCATAGCATTTGGCTTTTACAGATGACCGCTCGTACCATATTCGTCTCGCAATAGCACAATGCAAAAATATTTTATAAAAAAAGTTTTTAAGGTTTTATTAACTGCTTTTGAAATTTTCGTAAATTATTTTAATTTTTTATGATTAATTTTTAAATTTCCAAGAAATTGTAAATGTTCGTGAAAACAAAGTTTGATTTGAATAAATGCTATTCCTCTCCTCCGTTAACATTACCGTTATGTTAAACTTTGAAAGTGCCGTTTTGTATGCATTGTAAATAGTTTTGTGAAAATTTACCTCTTCGCTTCTCTAGGACCATATATGTAAATGAGGATAAAATGTGTTGGAGTTGCTTTCATATCCAGCAGTTCATTAATATGTTTATGTACGCTATGCGTACGTTCTATTATTATTATAAGTTAATCAAATATTTACCAAAAGTGTGTTATTTTCCTTCTTCGTCTGCTTGAGCGGAAATTCTCATTTATGGTGTAACTGCGCTAAATACACGTTATCGACGGTCTTGGGATACCCTGCATTCATTTTCTAACACCTAAACAGGCACGCGCGATTGGGAAACTAAAAGAGTTATATGGATAGTTAAATGATTAAGATTGCCACAGATTGTGTTAAGGTAGCATTGCTGAAATTAATAGTTTCGTCTGTGGAAGCACTTAAACAAAGAAGCCGTGTCATGATGGCAATGAGTGACAAGATTCTAATTAGCCGGCTTCTGTAAGGTTAGTAAAAAAGAAGAAGTAAAGGCATGCTCTGCTTATAAACTTGCTCCGAAATTTCATAATTGGATTATTCGGTTTTGTCCGCCCCTTGTCGGCTTCGTTCGTAGCATATAGCATATAGCACATAGCAATTGTGATCTTTTATTGATCTTTACGGGCTAAGTGTCTTTGAGCTTCCTTATCCAAAATTTCTATAAAGGTTTTCTACAACGAAGTAATACCCCGTCGCTGCATGGCCTACGAAGCGAACGTTATGATCATCCAGTGTAGGCGTTAGCTACTACTAGACCATCTATCGTCGATGATAGAATGTTTGTCTTGTCAGAAGTATCGGAGATTCCACTCGTGCCGAGTACATACTTCTTTCTGATGGAAATGGTGTATAATCGAAACAGGTCGCATGTGTTAGAGAGGGCATCAAGCTTAATAATGGGAATTAGTTGGGTTTAACTGAAATTTTTTTACTGAAACTACTTCGTAGTGCAACAAGCGCAAGAAAAATACGAAGGGAACACAGACAGAGCTAAAAAAAGCACATCATTCAATTAAGTGCATACGATTTATTCCTTATGCGTAAAGTATAAGTTCTTAAGGGGGCCCCGAGGCATTTGTAATGTAAACAAGACTGGCTACCTTCATAAGTTGAAGAGCGTTGACAAAAATGCATATGTATGAACGATGTATGTGCCTGCAAGTGTGAACATGCGGATGTGTGCATTGATCATCGTTCAGATTTTAATGTATGCATTACCTCTTCGTCTCATTTTATTTTCTTCTGCGTTGATATTCCATTTGGTCAATGAACTTTTAAATTTATGTGAGCGTTTATTAATACAGACATTTATTTGTGTTATATGCGATATGTAGGTACATCGGCATTCGAACACACAACCATTTTCAGTTGCAGTGTTAATGGTCTTTAATTCTGAGACCAAATTGTCAATTAATAACACTATGAATGAATGTAATTGAAGCTCTTTCGTCCGATAAATGTATTTGCAACCAAGTTTTCTAAAAAAAAACAAAGCGATAAATTGACATTTACTACCGTCATATTTCTTCTTCATCAGCCGAGCAACCTATTTAGTAAGCAAACAATAGTGAGTTTGACAGCAGAGAGATCCTGGCTAGCAATACTCATTGTACTTCGCTTAGTGCACCAGCTATACGTTTGATAATTTTACTGAAAATAATTCATGAAACATGCTACATTACATACAGCTGCAGACAGACAATACCATATTTACATGTACAAGATAATTGATTAATTCTTCCGGGCTCGTTTTGTTACTAAAACTATCAAACACACCCAAATTAATGTTTTAACTAAAACATGCCATCCTTGAATAGGCGTAACCATTGTCTATATCCGGGCGATACGATCTGATTGACCGGGGTATTGATTGCTTCGGAGATGTTGCGAACTAGTTCGATTCTCATATTGTCCGTAAAAGTGTCTCTTTTACGTTCCAAGGAATGTATAAAGAATTCGTTGATTGCAAACTTGATATTTTCAAATGATTTAAAAATTAGTACCATTAGTATGTATTAAGAAAGAAAAAACATGCTTTTTAGAATTCAACTTAATTCAATCATTCAATTATTGAATTACATTCAACGCCATTCTGACGTTTTAATGCATTTTTTATAGAACTATTTGTCGAAGGTCCTGACCTCATTTGATCTAAACCTTTGTCACTGCATCATTAATTCATGATTGGGAGACAGATAATAGTTGCTTGCGGCAACGTCTGGAGAACGCTGTGAATAGGTCAGCAGTTCGAACTTTAATCGAACTTAATTTTGCTTTGCATTTTGTGGTCTTTAGAATGCCAGCCGTTACTTTCAGCTTCACTCTTCGATTATCGAAAATAATTTTCCGGACTTTTTGATATTTCCTGCTGTAACTTGTTCTTTTGAACGCGCACTGCATTAAACAGCGTGATTGTCCATGCGACCTCGTTTGACATGAGCAAACAATCAAGATATTTGCTGTTTTTGGGAGAGAACGGTTGCCATAATACTTTTCAAGCTAATGTTGCGGCTGCTTGCTTTCAAAAAGCATTCTTTAATCGGGAAACAGTTCAATTTTCGTCTAAAAAAAAAGGCAATCATTTATTTAAATCAACTGCCGGAACACTGCCTATGTATGCAAGGATATTGTAAACAATTCGAATAAAAGAGAGGGAGAGAGAGAGCGTGAGAAGCGTAAAAATTGTAGGACGTGTTTTAACGGCTGTTTTCGGAAAATGTTTTTCGAAAAAAATATATTTAAAATTTTGAGATGTCTTATCTCTTTCCATTAGAATAAACGTTTTTTTCATTTTTCACCATTAGCTGACAATCCGAGAGATCATAAAAACCCCAAGGCTCTCTTTCCTCGAAGATTTTTTGTTGAAACCCTAGAAGGCGCTCTTTACTTCCCATCTATCAATGACGGACGCGATGGTGCAACATTTTACATATTCCGAAATGCAAAAAAATGTATAATTCTATGCCAGAACTTATAGTTAGTATTAAAAACTTCATTGTAGACCTATAATTTCTTGGCATTGACATATTTTGAATTGCTCGAAATCTCATATCATCTGTTCAACGGAGCTACACTTAACATGTTTTTGTTGGAAATATTTTCATGTATAAAGTTGCTAAAGACAAGCCACAAAGATGCAAAGACAGTTTCCGCTTTGCAACCATACGTCTCTCGGAGCCCAAAAGCTTTGGTTTCCCGGGAAGCGATTCACAAAGCCATAATAGTAGCTACACCTAATTTCTAGCTGGAAACCTTTGTGGTTAGAACTGAGGCGGTATTCGATCACCTTCTCACCTTCTCAAACTTCTTAATTTTCTTTCTTGATTAATGAAAGCATCTGTGGCAAATGCTTTCCCTTAAGTTAGTCTTACAGGACAGTCCAAGAATTTCACCTCTCGGGTCGTAATACTAATGCCCCCAAACTGCTTCCATTATTCATTGCCTTTTGATCTAAAAACCATTCAAAAAATATTGACGCATTTGGAGACTGCTTTAAGCACTCAAATTTGTTCAAAGTAATTGTACCGGCCCACAACAACATTTGAGGAAAAGCACTGAAAAGCAGATTTAAATCTGTTAGAGAAGCTCCAAGTTAACAGGTCGGACATTAGTTTGCAAGTTTCTAACAGCAAGGCTTGTTAAACTCAGGCCGTCTTTTCGGAACGCTTGAAGAAAATGTATTAATATTCAAAGCATCGATTTAAGCAAAACGAAAAGTTTATTACGAGATATTCATAGAAGTGTCACGTGTCAAGTGTTATCAACGACGTCCTATTTAGGACAAAGAGATGGTAATTAATTCAAGCTCCGAATGTATCTGCAATTCCGCGTAACCGATTCTCAATTGACGCGTACGTTTTTCATTTATTAAATGCGTACCAGAGGAATAAAAGCTTATTAAAATGAATTCTAAAAATAATCGAAAAACAAATATATATTTATATATATTTAAGTGATATATATGTATTTGCCCTATAACGCCGTCTGCCTCTTCTCCAGCTTTGGCAATTGATGGAGGGATTGCGCTGTCCGTGGCTCTGTAGGCGCAATAAAAATCAAATAAGCGTATTCGTGAGTTTATGAGGAAGTCGTATGAGTGAACACAAAGAAGTAGAAAAGCAACACACACGCTCAACTCCAAAAATAGATGTAAATGTATATTGACTAGTTTGTTGTTTGTTGTGTTGTTTTTGCTCTATGACTTGAATTCAATTCAATTCAAATATGTTCTGGTGCAATGTCTAATGTGGGATTTTTCTATCTATGAAAGAGATATATAAACATACACTTACATACACGAGCACAAAGGCGTGCATATGCATATGCATAAGTAAGAAAATCTCTATATGTGTGTTCCACATTAGTTGATATTAGAATTATGTATTTTTAAGTCAGTGGCTGGTTACTGCTGTTATTATGATTACGGGCACATGCACGCAACGTGCATAGGGTAGCTGGTAAAACGGCAAAACTAGCAGACATGGGAAATTTATAATGAAAACAACAAATCAAAAAACCAGTTGTTTTTGTAATTCTTGTAACATGTACACTTATTTGTTCTTATTTGTCGTTTTTTTTTTCTTTCTTTTTTGCTTCTAGTGTCACAATGCAAATGAGTTACAACAAGAGCAGCATGCGCAAGAGGGCAGCGTTAATAAATACGCAGCTGCTAACGACGGCAACGTAAACGATCGTGTGTGGCTAGTACATCGTGGCGGTTTTTGCGCTGCTCTACGCTTGCCGCAAACCAAAGCCCACTTGGAAAACCATAAGGTGGTCATTCAACTGTTGCATAATAGCGAAGAAATGACCGTAGATGAGGACGATGTGGAAAAAATGAATTCGCCCTCGCTGGATTTGATTGAAGATATTTGTGAACTAAAGCATTTAAACGAGGCGTCGTTGCTGCATTGTTTGCGCCAACGTTATGCTAGCAATTTGATATACACCAAAGCTGGACCCATATTACTTGTAGTCAATCCAATGGCTCCTTTATCGTTATACTCTGAAAAGGTGACAAACAGCTTAAAAACATTCGGTTGTTGTCTTTTGCTCAAAATGCTTTTCAGGTTGTTTCCATGTTTCGTGGTTGTAAGACGGAGGACATGCCTCCGCATATTTATTCGCTTGCCCAAACCGCCTACAGGACAATGTTAGAAACGAGACGAGATCAAAGTCTTGTATTTATGGGACGTTCCGGTTCTGGCAAAACAACCAGCTTCAAACATGCACTCTATTACTTGGCGTTGGCAGCTGGTAAGTTGTCATCGACATACTGTTCATAATAATTGTGCATAAAAGATGGTGCTGAGAGTGTTGAGAACATCACATGACATGACAAAGATCTATTGCGACGAACAGAAGAAAATAGAATTCAAATTTACATTTGCAGAAATGTGTTAGGTGTATTAACTATCAACTCTCTTTACCTTTTTAATAAAATTCAAAAATATTTAAAACGTACTTGCTATAATAATCACTTTCTGGACTGGTCTTGCTGGAGATCGGCACACGTATGCGATTTTTTATCGTTTTCAAGACTAAAATTTCTTGCTACAAAATCTCGCAGACCGCATTCCAACTGTGTCATCGCTTATTGCGTTTTTACTCCAAATCAATTTAATCATTTACGCAGTTTAGCTATATTGTAATTGACATCCATCTCTTTACTCTTTGATATAGACTAAACGAAAGCTTACAAATAAGTGAAGCTTATATCGTGCAAACGTCAATATCTAATTTACTTTTACCCAAAATTTCCGGAAAATTGAACTAGATAGATATGCTTTATGAAGCAACATTTTCTAGCCGAGGGAATTTATTAATGCACCTAATAGTATTACTTCTTAGTCTTTGTGATGACAAAAAAGCGTTTTTTCTTTTATTTTTTAATTCTTAATTTTAAGTTGCTATTATAATAATTTTTTAAATGCGGAGAAAGTCAACTCAGTTAATGCAATTCTGGAAGCTTTTGGTAACACTAAGACCTGTCTAAATTCGAATGCGACACGTTTAACCCAATTGTTAAGCTTGGATTTTGATCAAACTGGACAAATAGCTTCTGCATCGATTCAAGTATTCTGTACAATGTATGTTTTCGAAGAAATTATTACATTTTTATTATTCAGGTACTTTTGCCAGAACGACAACGTGCTGGACGACGTTTGCCTAATGAGCGTAGTTTTCACATAATGACACGTCTATTGGCTGGCGCTTGTGGTTCTTTACAGAAAGAATTGCATTTAGAAAGTATACCATCAGAAGACAATCACCCGTTTGTTTCATTACCACAGAAACTCGAAGATCGGCAACGATCGGCCGCTGAATTTGTGCGTACTGTTCAGGCGTTCGAAACGTTAAACATAAATCCCAGAGCTGTACGTGGAATATGGAGTATATTGGCTTCCATTTACCACTTGGGCTTGGCTGGAGTCACAATAGTTGGTTCGGGCCCTACTGCGCGTACTCAATTTGCGAATCCGTCAGCAGCCAGAAGGGCGGCCGCCTTGCTTGGCGTTTCATTAGAGGATTTATCGGGGGCAGCTTTTAATGTAAACGCATCAGGCAGTTCAAGTCCCTCAAAGACTTTAAGCGATATTCCCGATTTGGCCTGGGAGTGTTTGGAAGCTTTAGTTATTGGCTTATATTCAGAAGCTTTGGCTGCCGCAATAGCTCTAATTAATAAAGCTATTTGCACATCTGCCCATACAATAGCTTCCATCATTCTAATAGATACACCAGGTTTTCAAAATCCTGCCAGTTGTGGTTCACAAACCGGTGCCACTCTGTCCGATTTGAAACACAATTATTTACAAGAAAGATTGCAGCTTCTGTTCCATCACAACACATTAGTAGCGCCTAGAGATCGTTACGCTCAAGAACTGGTAGAAATCGAAACCGAGGGTATGTCTGATACAAATCCTGGGCCTTTGGTATCACTCATAGACAAGGCACCGCAAAACCATGTAGTCCGCTCTTCTCAGAGGGATTTGCGGGAACAAGATCGTCGTGGGTTGCTGTGGCTACTCGATGAGGAATCTATATATCCCAATTCTAACGATGACACATTCCTTGAACGTCTTTTTTCTCACTACGGGGATCGAGAACACCAGACGTTGTTGCGAAAATGCAACGGATCAAAGCAATTTGTGTTACAGCATTTGCAAGGCACAAATCCAGTTTTATATATGGTTAATGGATGGGTCCGTAATAGTCGTGAACATCCAGCCATACGCAATGCGGGTTCGTTATTGCAAGACAGCTCTCGAGATGAAATTAGTCGCCTTTATATTGGTTCTCTAACTCGTAGCAGTGGTGGGATAGTTTTTTGTGGCTCTTTTGCTGGCCTAGAAGGTACACATTCTCTGCGGCGTGTTTCCAGTATACGTCGATCTTTTACCTCAGCTGGTGTAAAAAGAAATTCCATCATGCTGCAAGTAAAATTCACTGTCGATGGGATCATTGACACTTTGAGACGCACCGGCACGCATTTCGTGCACTGTTATTTGCTGCAACATAATGCTGGTCAGCAGCCTGCATTTTCGGCTAGTGGTTCGCCTAACACATCGGTTCTACAAACTTCCAGTGAGGAATTAGTTAATATCCCGCTTCTTAGAAGTCAGGTCTGTCCAATAGGTGCATAAAAATAAGGATTTCCTAATATATTTTTTTTGTATTTCTAATTAATAGTTACGTGGTTCTCAAGTGTTAGAGGCAGCACGTTTGCATCGTTTTGGTTATCCTGAATCTGTGCCCTTGAATGAATTTGAACGACGGTTCGGTCTGCTGGCTGGTGAATCTTATAAAGATGTTACCGTGGAACAAATTTTATCTGTCAACGAGTTGGATCCGGCTACTTACCGTATTGGACCGAGTCAAGTAAGTGTGTTTATGTCAAATTCTTTCATGAAATACAATTTCTAAGCTTGACTTGTTAAGTTTTCTTGTAATATTTTAAACATGCCCTACACATGTTTTTACATATAAAATTAATTATAAAAGTTTGTCTTAAAAGAAACTTATTTACATTAACCCCTATAAAATCCCCTAAATAAGTTGGTAGTAGGAAAAGCACTTTCCAAGAAGCTAGGTTCCTTGACTTTGCGCATTCTTACCACGTTGCCAATGCCGAAGGGGGGATTTGCTTTCGTTGACAAATAATAAGCGCCGACCTTGGGCACAACCGGTTCACCACCCATAAAAGCGTCTGCTGGACATTCATAACTACCGGTTAAACAAGTGCAATTGTAGCCACGCATACATGCAGAACTTGATAATTTCATAGCACCAAATATTTTCGGGTTTCGCACAGATTCTGCCATGTAGTATAAGGCTGCAAAGTGATCGCAAGCGAAATCAAATTCAGCTGCAGTCGCATTTGGACATTGTGGCTGTCCTTGACCCCAATTTGGAAAGAATGCAGCATGACTGAGTTCAAAGCTTGGATTTCCCATGTGGCTTGTGTCGGTATGTATGGATTCTACATAAAGGGCATCATCAGGAGCCAAGCGATAGTCGGCTGATAAGCCCAGTTGTGCCAAGCCAGCTGGATCAAGAGCAATAATTGCGCCAAGCTGTTGAGGTTTGAGCAATTTGCCAGCCAAACCAGCTATGTGACTGCCAGCGCTGTGGCCAATTAAATATACGCTGCTAAGTTCGATATTCTTTTCACGTTGCAAGAAACGTATAAATTTCACAAAATGCGCAGCTATTTCGGACAATTGCTGTGAAATGCGTGGATAACTGATGTCATGTGAAATGACACTCCAGTCAACGATTATTACATTGAAATTTCCCTGTGACAAATAAGCATCTTTTAAAGCTGCATTTGAACAGGAGGTACTCTTACCAGCCCAACCATGTATAGCAATTCTGGAAAGTAGCACTTCAAATAATCGGTATTAAAAATTGACGGGAATATCATTAACACACCTAATCGGCCAAGCGGGATTAAAATGCGATTTTTTTAAAGCCCTTACGTCTCCTGTACGTAAAATTTGACCTTCATAGGGATTTAAAGAAGTGTAAAGATCGTAGTGTATATGTTGGCTTCCTAAAATGCGAAACCGAGGATTTAATAATGCCATAACTTCGTTGCGTAGAACATCGTGAACGACACTGAATACAGAACCTTCGCAATCCGTTTTTTGATAAGACAGATGTGCACACCAACACTCTAAAAGAAAAGAAGCTCTATGTTTTTAAATGACGTATTAATTAAATATTGTATAGCTGTTTGGATGACCCATTTTTGAAATCTTAATATCCCGTTATTATCCAGTGAAATAATCAGGATCAAAAGAAGAAAAAAAGAAAGAACTAACCGCTTAAACACCTTCCGATTAATAAAACACAAAACATAAATACGTTCATTATGCCTAAATGACAACAATGATAATTATAAGTCCAGTTATATAGACCCAAATAATGTGAAGAGTTTTCCAAAGAGTATTCACAGAATATTTTTAAAACTCAATATTTCAATATTTAAGCGAACGAATACATCACAACTTAAACGTTTCGCGTTCTGGCTTTAAATGTTGCGAATTCTTAAGGCTCAATTAGTTAAAAGAACACAACAACAAAAATAGCAGCCATTCATTATGGTCTACAAAAACGCAATGAGAGTACATTCATCAATTACAAGCCATCTTGTCTTTGATATTCAGCCATTGCTGTAATGCAACAGATTTTTAAGCAACACAAGCACAAATATGAAAAAAGCTGCAACACATCAAACGTACATTTAGTTGTTTGATACAAAAGAATTTCAAAATTCGCTTATATAAGAATCGTGGAAGCAGTGGAGAGGAAGAAGAGAAGCAGTTTTTACGTTTTTTCGATATTTTTTTTTGCAATTTTCTAAGGTCACTATACTATCAAGCAACCAGCAGCCGGAGAGTAATTAGAAAATATACAAAATATGTATATATATATATATATTATATACAAGTATTTAGAAATACAACTTATTCTAAAAAGTCAAGTTCGGATCTCTTCAAACAGGCTTTTTTGTGCTAAACTTGCGAGGTTCAAGAACCGTTTGTATCTTAATTTGTTGTTTTTATTCGGTTGTTATTATTGACATGTATTTCGATAAACGTAATGACAATTAGATATACACGCTATCCGCAGCGATTTTTGGCATAAAATGATCTTAATTAGGTTTACATAGGTTAGTATTAGGTTGGCAACATGCTAAGAACAAATCCATCATAATTATCAAATTTGGAAACTAAAAAGTGAATTTATTTATACCAGGACGTTGGTTCTTCAAAAAATTTTTCCCTTAAAAAGAACATTTCTGGAGAGGGTTTCGTTGATATCCTGCTATGACACCTTTAATAATATATTAACGAACATTAACATCAGCAAATATACATATCATCTTCCTTTGGCTGAATTGTTCAAACGATTAGAATTATCGCATGAGTATATCGACTCTCGATCACAGTCGTATGTATTCTGTGGTCGTTTGACTTCTGTTAGATTTCTATTCTTAAAATTCGGAATGGAAAGGTTAGATTTCACAAGTGATTTCTTACAAGTGATCCGCCATTAGCCGTATTCTCAAGGAGTATAATAATTTAAAATGTGCTCAACAAATCACGTATGATATGTAGCTGATATGGATCTGATATTAAATACAATTGCACATCGCCTTAATATAATAATATATTATAAAATGGTTTCCGTATTAAAACATCTAGGTTTCACTCCTTTACTAGCGAATATGAAACTTTTCATTGATGAAGGCTATACACTTTCTCCTTTTGCACGTTACGGACGTCCAAGATGTTGCATATATTTTGAAAGAAAGTTTGTCGATACAAACAAGTGTCATTCAAAGGCAAATCGAACTTCGCTCGATAAAAGGAAATTATGTGAAAGACTGAACTTATTGTTATATTAAATCCCAGAAAAAGCGCAAATTAAAATACTGAACGTCATGTCACGTGAAAATATTTGTACATATTAATTAAATTATTAAACATTTGCACATCAAGATGGTGTAAATCTCCCTAAAAAAAACATACATTTCTTACTGGCAGACATAACGTTAAATAGTCGTCACTTGCTGCTTTTTGAATTTGTTAAAACATATTGAATTTTTCATAAATCGTGGTCGAAGCCGAGAGTTTGAGCGGTCTTTAGAGATGGGCACGTGACAACCAGCCAACACTAATGCTCAATTAGTTTTATTCTAATTAGAGTAGAACGTTGAAAGGTTTTTGAATTTAAAATTAGAGCATTTTTCATGAAAGATGTTTCAAGCAGAAAATTCGAGGCATAATTTGATATGAGTGCATGAACATCAGTAGTCAGCCACGCAAAAAAGATGTTACGAATATTTTTATTGCAAATAAAAGTAAGCCTTACAGCACGTAGACGTTAAGTAGTTTCCTTGGAAGTCAGAGAAACGCATACCTATTAAAAAATTATAGTGGGACTGATGATATATTTTGAGTAGCGTTAGTATCCGCACGAAAAAATGAATCGAATTTTCGAATAAAGTTCCAACAAGTTCTTAGAGATCTTATAGTAGTAATGTAATAATAATAGCTCTAGCGTAGTAAAAATTTTATCCTTAGCTGCAATGACAATTTCTCATTGTTGTTGGAGATAATTGTTTTCGATTTTTCTAGTGCATTCGTTAAATGATTCCGTGTCACGGTGAGGACGGCAACGCTTGCCCATCTTTAATTTGGTAATTGTACAATGAATGAATTTAATTAAAATTAATTTGATAAATCACAAAGGTTCTAATTATTCCTAATTTGCTGCTGGTGCGTTAATGATAATTAATTATATTTTTATACCTTACATCACTTATGGCACCGGAGTATATTAAGTTTGTGCGGATATATGCAACATCCAGGAAGACATTTCTTTATATCGATCGATTCAGAATCACTCACTTAATCGATTTAAACCTTGTGTCCACTTGTCCGCCTTGTTTTCTTTTGTTCAACCTACAGGCCGCAACTTTTGAGATATTTTCATGAAATTTGGTATACTGGCTTGTTTTGCCGCAAGGACGGAACACCATTGAAAATGGTTCGGGTCGGAAAAGTGTTGCGACCACTTGCCATATATCGCCCCAATTTGAAAATTCATTAAATGAATACCTATAGCGTGTAGGGTACTTTATGGTGAGTCGCGCCCCACCATAGCACTTTTACTTATTTTATAATGTTATTGGAAAAATATGTGAAACGAAAGCTTTTTCGATACTTCTTTGCCAACGAAATCCTATTAGAATTTTTAACATTAATATTTTTACTTATTTTATAATGTTATTGGAAAAATATGTGAAACGAAAGCTTTTTCGATACTTAAAAGTGTCTTTGCCAACGAAATCCTATTAGAATTTTTAACATCAAGTAATTGAATTAAATTCTTTCGTTTTGCATTTCACTATTCCAAAGAATTCATATTAAAGTATCATCATTTGATAGATGTTTTTAACATTCGATGAATACCCATACTTTAAAAACCCCGTTTCGAGAATTTGTGTTAAATATAACTTGGTTTCTTTATTTAGAAAAAAAAGCTATTGTCTATCGAAATGTTTCACTGAAAAAGATATGAAGAGAAAAGCTGAACCAGGTTGAAGATTTTAATTTTGAGGCTAACGAAACAGAGCATCTATCCGGGCCAACTACAAAAGTTTGCAATCGCACAATTGTAAAGACCTATATAAGGCATTTAAAGGAGTAACAATTGTCTGGACTGGGCTACATTTTACAATGTTCGCAAGCGCTAATAAAGAAAATGAAGATTTCTAATCTAAACCTATGCGAAAATTTGAAGCAATTAGTGATGGGTGTTGTGGACGACTATTGTTGAAATTGCAGGCAAGGTTAAGAACGAGCAATCTTTACTATGCACAACGATGCGAGAAAATTATTTTTTAATCATTCAAACCGGACAATTCGTTGGTACTCCACATTCTAATTTTTAATCTGCTGATTGCCGTTCATTTTCATCGACATGCGTAGGGTTAAACCGATTAAAAGAACCAGTCAAGCTCCTTATTATCGGTCTTCCAAAAGTTTCCTTTCTACTTCTCTGTCTTCATCTCTTACCTTTCAAATATAAACTTTCAATTCGTGTATAGTAAACAAAAGAAGGTAATTATGCTTGCGTTTATTTTAAAACAATATTTATTTAACGCTAGAAATACCGCTGACGTTTTGTATATATAAAAGGGGTTATTTTGATGCCCTTTTGCTGTGGGATTGTCACAGCTATAAAAATTAAGATAAGAAGTTGAAATTTCGTTAATCGATTAAGGATAGCAAATAAAGAAAGGGACGCGATCTCCCCGCGAGCACATGTACGATACAGAAGAATCTGAAACAACCTCGAAAAAGCACCAACATTTTTTTGATGTTTTGGCTTATATCTTTCGATTCCGTGAAGACATTTCGCGAGATCTGGTTACGAAATGTTACAAATATTTAATGTTCTCTTCATATAAATAAAAGTTACTAAAGATTTTGGCACACTACACGATTTGTAACGCTTTTTTGTAGATCGCAAATTGAAAAGGGTCAAAATGACGTACTTGGTAGTTCTAATCATTAGAACAGGGTGATTAATAAATGCTTTTGCTGTTTGACGTCATTGCATGCACCGCTAATTGCGAAAATGAAACGAGTGTAGACTTATAACTCTTAATGCTTACGGCCACGTCTATATTCATGTGGAGATGTGGAAAAAAATTTTTTTGAGACAATTAATTTACAAAAATAATGATTATGATGAAAAAATTATATAAATGCTTTTATGTGAAAAACGATGAAAAACAAAATGCAACATAGTCTTTCTATATAGTAATGATATTACTGTCCTCTTGTATTCACTACACCACACATCACTTCAACGCCCTATTATGGTAATGTGTCATCAATTTAATACAACTAGAGTTCAACACTTAGTGATCTTTTGCGTCCATAAATTAAATTCATAAATCTCAACAGCTCAGTTGTCATTTAACATTCGTCTTAATAAATTGCAAGTGATTCAAAGCATCGTTTTCTTTTTATGTTTTTCGTCTTTATTTACCTTTTTTTGTTCATGAATTAAATAACATTTTCTCTTTGTTCTTTCTTATGCCGTACGTTAATAAAGCGAATATTGATCGTTCGGTGGAAGAAATATGTTCTTCTA